AATTATTTAGCTATGAGTTTTGTATTGCAGTTATTTCCAGGTTTTTGAATTAGTTTTAAATTTCTGAGAACATATTTGTTGGGCAATGTGATTTTTTCCTTAAGATTTATTTTACTAGAAGTATAGTGGCAAGGTCAAAAGAGTTTTGAAAAATACTGCTTGAAATTACTTAACCTAGGAATAGTTTGAGATTTTTTTTCTTGAAATTAGAGCAACTGTTCTTCAGCTTCTAGAGAAGCTTATTAGAATGTCGTTACCTGAGATAGAGGGCATCACAAGTTTACATTTAAATTCATAAATGAAGCTAGTTTAAGAATAATGTTTTGAAGCTTTATTAATGAGGTCACTTCTATAATTGTCACAGGGTATCAAGGTCTTCCAAAGATCAGAGGTGTGTAGATTTTGGTATTTTTTGGGGGGGTGGGGAGACTCTTATTACTATAAATGGCTTTTATTGAATGTTGAATAGATGCTTGGGGGCATCTCTTTCTTAAGAAAAAATAACAAGTTTAATTATGCCAGGATGTTTAATTCTTTAGTAAAGGAAAAAGAGAAAAAAATAATGGCCTCTCTTTTTATTGTGTTTGTACTGTAACGCCAGAATACTTTCTCAGTACTTAGAGCCATGAGCATGAGTAGTATAAGAACAATATGATATCGTGGTTCAAATTAGAAATATTTTTGTGAGATTTTTCCATTTTTGAAAGGGCTAAGTGCTATGCAGTCTTCTTAATAAAGTCCAGATAATAAAAATAAACACATTGGAGATAAGAAATGGTTTTAAAACTTAAGAACTTGAGTTATTTAAAGCATTCCATTAGTATAGTATATACAGCAGAAGAACATAATGCACAGATTTAAAAATCATGGAATACAGAATTGAGGGTCAGCTAGTGGCTGTTTGGTAATTTGGAAATGTTCCGTTATGATCAAGGTAACTCTTGCTACTCTGAATAAAAGTTTCAGAGGGAATAAGCAGCTAAAACATATTCTGTTACTGATTTTTCTAAATTGCAATGTAACATACACAGTAAAGTATACAATTTGTAAGTATACAACTCAACAGAATTTTACACACAGATACACCTACGTAACCCCCACTGTGGTTATGTAAAGAACAATCCAGCACCCAGGAGGGCTTCCTTTGCTAGTCACTGCCTTTCTTTCTCTAAGGTAACCACTGCTCTTAGTTCTTGATCTTCAAATGAACAAACTCATACAATAATATAATGTGTAGCCTTTTACTATTTTTTGAGAGTTATCAAAGTTGTTACATGTAGCAATACTTTGTTTTGTTTCTTTTCTTCATTGTTATGTGATAGTAGTTTCTTGTATAGATTTTTTTCAATTTATTTATTCCGCTGTTAATAAGCATTTGTGTGGTTTCCAATTTTGCTGTTGTGAATAAAGCTGCCATAAATATTCTTTTACATGTCTTTTGGAGACATATGCATTCATTTCTCTTGGGTATAGATCTAGAAGTGAAATTGTTAGATAATAGGATAGACAGTAGTTTAGCCTTAGTAAATATTGCCAAGTAGTTTTCCAAAATGACTGTACCAAGTTATAGATTCTCACTAGCTACAAATGAAAGTTCATTTGCTCCACCAGAATATTGACAGCCTGTGTAATTATAGCTATTCTGTTTGGTGCATATAGTGGTATCTTGGTGAATTTTAATTTGTATTTCTCTGATGAGGTTGTTGATACCTTTTTATGTACTTCTTGGCCATTGAATATCTTCATTTGTTATGTGCCCATTCAAATCTTTCTTCTGTGAACTTTATTGTTGTACATGTAACAGCTCGATGTAGGAACTATTTGAATTTTTGTGAATAGTATGAAGAGTATTCATTTTTCCTCACATATATTCATTGTTTCAGCAGTATTTATTGCAAAGACCCATTCTTTCCTCCACTGAATTGCAGTTTTGCTTTTGACATAAATTGGGTGACTGTATAGATGGCTTTGTTTCTAGATTCCTTATCCACACTATCTTGATTACTGTAGTTTTAAAACTCTTTATATTTGATAGTGTACACCCTGCAACCTTACTTTTCTTTAAGACTGTCTTAGCTGTTCTTTATTATTTGTACTTCCATATAGATTTTCGAACTTAATTTCCACTCCCCTCCCCAACAAGTCTTCCTTGTGAGCTTGATACTTTATTGAATCTTTGGATTTGGGTAAAATTTGCATCTGAATATGTGTATTCCAGTCATAATGTGTTATGACTGATGTGTTACAAGAATGAAATATATTTTCATTTATTTAGGTTTTTCTTTTTTATATTCTCCCATCAAGATTTTGTAGCTTTTAAAGGATGGATGTTAGGCATTTTTTGCTAATCCTTGTAATTTGTGGGTTTTGATGGTATTGTAAATATATTTTGTTAAATTTTATTTTTAATTGCTAATACATATAAATTTCATTAGGTGTTTGTATATTAACCTTGTATCCAGCAACCATCTTATATGCACTTGCTGATTCTAATGATTTATTTATGGAATCTTTTGTGTTACATTTTCTATATAGACAGTTGTGCCATCTACAAATAATAACAATTTTATATCCTTATAATTTTAAATTTTTTATTTCTTTTTCTTTATTGCACTCTTGGAACCTCCAGTATGGTACTAAATAGAAGTGGTAATAGTAAATAGCTTTATTTCTAAATCAAAGAAAGATAGCATAGTTTATTTCGAAGAGTGATGTAGTAGTTTATAGATGTTCCAGGTTCCCATACTGGCTCTAGCTCTCCCTGGTTGGTGTGATTCAGTTCAACAAGCATCTCTGGATGGTCTCATTTGAAAATTCAACTTGGGTTTGACCTTAGAATTGTCTTGCCTCAGCTTCCCAGCTTGCTGGAATTAGAGTGTGCCCCATGCCCAGCTTGCCTGAGGTGTTTTTTTTGCCTTCCTGGAATTTACAGTTAGATTTTGATACTGGGCCTTCATTTGCCCTTTTCCATTGTAGTTAGAAAGTTTTAGAAAATTTCCTGCTGATGTGTTATTTCTGATGTTAGAAAAAACAAACTTTGTCTCCTGTCTAGTAAGTATGAAACCACCCCAAGTTTTAGAGGTCTTTTTTTGCTTTTTGAGACAGGGTCTTGTTATATAGTTCATGCTGGCTTATACTCCCTATGTAGCCCAGGGTGACATTAAACTTAGTAATTCTCCTGCCTCAAGCTTCCCAAATACTGGAAATATAGGCATATAATACTATGCTCAGCTATTTTTGATATTTAAAAAAATATTTAACTATAAAAGATCTTTTAATCTGTGTCCTAGACAGTGTGTCCCTTTCTGTCCATCCTAGGTATACCTCAGCTCTTTGAAGATTCAGTGATGCTTGCCTTGTGCAGAGAAAAGTGTACAGGCAGGAGCCATTTTCCTGAGATGTACATCTTGCTAGCCTAGTGCGGAACCACTTCCCACTTAGAGAAATATAGAGGAACTTACAGGTTCAGTCCTGCCAGGGAAGCCAATAAGTACTGCCTGGGAATTGAGTATACACATCAATCAAGCTGATAAGTCTTATCCCCAGTTACTACATAATAAAATATTAACAAAGCTAGATCAAATGAGTTTTTAGTTTGGCTATGTAAGTGGAAAGCAATTTTGAGGTCTGTTGCATAAAGAATCCCAGTTCCATGGTACAGTGTAGAAGAAGGGAATAGATGAATCACCCATTGATATCTCTTTGCTATCAGCTGTGGTTCTTTAAAGCCAACAGGAGCTTTGCAGGTTTCCTATTGCTATATTTCAAGATTTGTTTTCAGAAATAAATATGTGTTTGTATTGGTAAGTAAATTTGAAGGATTAGTCTTGTGCTGTGAGCACTTTATAATAACTAGAAGTCCCTGTAATTGTCCAGTATTGGTTTTTACTTAATAAAATATTTAATCATAAATGTCTGAATTCTGTAACTCCCACAGGAAGTTATTTCCATGCCCACTGACAAGAATAATTTAGCAGTTTCATGGTTGAACACTTAATTACTCATAATTGTGAAGGGTAAGATGTGATGAATTCTTCCTCCATGGACATACTAAATATTTTAACTAAGTAGATGAGTTAAGGTAAATTAAGCTAGTAGGTCATTTATTACATGAGTTAAAAGCAGTTTAAGATATGCATCATATTCCACATTCCATTAGATAATAAACCATGTGTGACTACTGCTGTGTGAGTAAAGGCTTCTTTGTTGAGGTGGGTGGCAGATTTGGGGAGGTGAGGATCAGAAAGTATTAAGTTCATGGAGAGTTACTATGTTATGCTTGAGTCACTGAGATTATGCTTAGCTACATGTAGTATTTGGTTATCAAACTGATGGAAAACACTCTGTGCCTCTTGTTTGGCATGAGAGTGTAGTCAGCCCTGTTTTGGGATTTGAATGTAGACTCTCCCTTAAGCTGTAGTGTGTGCTTTGGAAAGATGGGTTGATGTGCAAACTGTCAAAAGCAGTCAAAAGCTAGCGTGAAGAGGTAAAATTACAAACAGAAACTCTAAAACACTCTATTAAATTCCTGAAGTGAAAAGAAACTTATATTTTGGAATAGAGGAAACAGGGATCCAATTATTTCAGTACTGCATTTTGTATGTCACTGTGGCAGTAGTCATGTAGTATTGTCAGAGGCCCAGGAGCCTCCTGCTTACCATTAGGGAAAGTTGAAACAACTCGTCTCATTAAGTTAAGCTTCTTCCCTCGAGTGCCTTATTTAGCTTTAGTTCTTTTAATTCTCTTTCCCTGGTGATTTGGGTAAAGTGTCTGAAACCACTAAAGGTAAAAGGTTGAAGCAATCCCAAATTTAATAATCTATCACCTTTCTTTAGTGTAGCTGAGTGTAATTCCCGGTAGTTCTTTGTGAATTCATTAGAAGACAGCAAGTCATTAAAAGTTAATAAGAAACTATTTGTTTCTGTGGATGCGAATAAAACCACTTTCTCAGTTATAAAAGCCTTGCTTTTAGCCAGTTTCCATTTTCTTGGTCTCTCTAGGTTACTCCTGGATGGGGCACCTCTGATAGCGATCCACAAAGCCAGGTATTACAAAAGGAAAGATGGCTTAGCCTTGGGGCCTGGACCATTTGTGACCGCTCTAGAGTATGCCACAGATACCAAAGCCATAGTAGTGGGAAAACCGGAGAAGACATTCTTTCTGGAAGCATTGCGGGGCACTGGCTGTGAACCTGAGGAAGCTGTCATGATAGGAGATGTAAGTAAAAGCACAGGCAATGCCCTGAACTCCCCTATCACACTGGGAGAGCCAGCTTCAAAACACGATTGTAGGAAAGCAGAGTATCTATTACTTACAGGAAAGAGAGTAGTAAGTAAAGCAAGCTTTCCTGTCACTGTTTAGTGGCGTTCTTCTAAATAACCAAATTTTTTATTGTTTCTGACATTTTCCATAGAGCGATGGGACATATATAATTTTTAAACTATATTGTAAGTCAGTTAAATGTTTTATATGTCTTTCTGAAGGAAACCCCTATACAAATCTAAAATTTTTTGAATATTACTTATGCAGAGAACAACCTATACCTAAAAAATTCTGCCATTACTTTTCCTAAGCTTATGCTTTATGGAAGAATTTCTCAATCATTGTGTCACAAGTAGCTAAAGATATTAATCACCTCAACCTCTTCTAGGGCTCTGCCTGGGATGTTTAGAAGCCCTACTCACCTATGGCTCTGAGCACTTTGTCAGTTTGCTCCTGTGTATGGGGCAAACATTATTTCTTATGTATGTCATGATGGGAAAAAAGCTGGATACATGCCTTATGGTAAGGTGGTAAGGGCTTATTTCAGTTTTTAAATAACATGAGAGCCTGGAAGTGACTATCAAGATTGTCCTGTCCAAACTCCTTCATTTTATAGACTAGAAAACTAAAGCTTAGGAAGGTATATCTCCTACCTATTACCATGGCTGATTAGCAGTACAGCTGGAAGTAGACCTCAGGATCTGGACTCTCTCCTAGCTTTTGTTTTTTAAATTTTAGTTTATCAGTACTGTGTGTAGTACATAATGTTTACATTCCTTGTGTGAAGTTACTACATGTACATAACACATCTTAATTGCTTCTTTCATTCACCCTGCCATCTCTTGACCCCTTTTCGTTTTCTTTTTTTCTTTCTTTTTCTTTTTACAGGGTCCCACTGTATATATAGCCCAGTAGCCCAGGCTGGCCTTGAACTCATGATCCTTCTCCCTCAGCCTCCAGAGTGCTGGGATTATAGTTATATGTCACGACACCTGGCTCCTCCCAGCTTTCTTGTAGTGATGGAAATGTTATCCCAGTCCTCCTGATGTCATCTGTTTCTATAATCACTCATATAAAATCAGTATGATAATCATTGAACACAGTCATATTTTCCATGTTTTCACTCCCACCTTTTTCTCTTGAAAATCCTATAGCTGACTTTGCTAAAGAAATGTCTGTGAAGCAATGGTTATCTGAAGCCAGAATTCTTTATTGCAAGAGATGCCAGGACTGAGGCAGATGAGGAGGAAGGAGGGGCATGAGACAGTTGTTCAGATGTATGGCAGGTTGTGTGTCATCCAAGAAAGTGGCAGTCTCTCCTCCTTTGCCTCATGCACTTTACTTCATTTCCCTTTTTCCTCTTTCTCTCTCTCCTCATCCCCACTTCTTCAACAGGGAATATTTAGTTATAACAGAAAAGGTTTTAAGTTAAACCTTGGATGAAGATTTTGAAATTCTGAGACTCAATTCCACAAGCTGTTACTGAGCAATATTAATGATTTTTAAGGCCAAAATGTTCTTCAAGCATGATCTGAATGAATTCTGCTTATAAGTATGAGGTGGCAGGGTTGATTTTTCTTAATGTTTGTTTCAGACGTTGGATTTTTAATTACCTTACATTTATCATTATAGGCATTCTCTCTCTCTCTCTCCCTCTGTCTCTCTCTGTCTCACACACACACACACACACACGTGCGCCTGCGCGCGCTTTTGATTTGTTTTTTTTTTTCTGGTACCAGGGCTCTAACTCAGGACCTTGGCACTTGTGAGACAGGCGCAGTGCCACTGAGCTACATCCCTGGCCCTTGATTTGGTTTTTTGAGACAAGGTATCACTATGTTGCCCAAACTTGACTTCAGACTCTTGGGCGCAAGTGATCCTTCTATTTGACTTGATCTTACCTGTTGTAGGCAGTTGGATGGAATATAAGGATAATTACATGGGCCACAGAAAAGCTATCTTCTGAATCTCCTTCATTTATTGACAGTAGTTGGATTATTCACCTCACAAGCTGTCATATGCATAGAATACTTTTCCCATGTTCTGTTTGAAGAGATGATGGATATATGTGTGGCAAAGCATGAAGACTCATCACTGCTGTCGGTGATAAGGAACTGGGGTTCCTCAATCTAGTGTGTAACTTTTGCCTTGGTGGCACTTTCCTCTCCAAACATGATTTACTTCCTCACAATGCTACATATGAAGTCATCCCTTTTACATCTTCTCCTCTTTCACTGAAAAATTACACAAAATCTCCAGAAGATTCCAGGTGGCCATCCCAGCCTGCTGTATCATCAAAGGTGTTTGTTGGCAAGTTGACTGAAGACCCTGGACTAAGTACCTTCTTTATGCTTTTCCAGGATTGCAGGGATGATGTTGGTGGGGCTCAGAACGCCGGCATGCTGGGTGTCTTAGTAAAAACCGGTAGGTATCTTGTATATGTGCTTTTTCAAAAAGATGGTAGCGTTCACAATTGCCAAGAGTATCCTTTACAGAAGTGGCAGAGCCCTGGGCACTTTAATGCTCTTCCTGACACAAAACAAAAATGGAATGGGTTTAGGATTACAGGGAAAAAGAATTGGGGATGTGCCCATGATGTACAAGGCTAGGAAGATCAAGGCCAGCGATGTTTTAATACCCAGAGATAACCATGCATTTCCCCACAGGAATGGAGCACAGGACCATGGATTGTGGTGCTTTGTGAAAATACCTTTTATATTTTGTATCACTGTATGATGATGCAGTTGATCTCTTTAGGAACTGGCTAGCTTAGTGGTCTGACCTACTGTGTTTATGTGTGCATTTAAAAACATTTTTTTTAAATGTATGACACTTTCCTTATCTTTTCATTTTCCGTTTTTAGTGATCAAATAAGAACTGTTTCCTATAACAAAATTAGGTTTATTATGTATGGCCTGTCAGATAAATTTAGGAAAAAGAAAAGAGGAATAAGCGCATATGGCATGATGACTACAGGAGACTGGTCAGTGTCCCATGTCCTGGTCTCAGCTCTGCACTGACTAGCTATGTGACTCTTGTCAGAGCTCTTTCCTTCTGTGGGCTCTTTGAGAATGATGCCATTGTACTGGCCCCTTGTGTCTCTCATAGTACACTATCCAGTATATCGAGTGACTAGTGGTCTTGGCAAGTTAAGGAAAGAACAGAGTTTGGAGCTGTGAGTGGGGTTGAATACCTTTGCATTTGAGAACTTAAGGGGCTTTTCCAGTTGCAATGAAAAGGTCCACTTCCAGCCCCTCCCCCAAAAGGGACCTGCTGAATTTGGAATTAATAGCACATAATAACCAGAAATCTTGTCTAAGAATTTTCATCAGGCTCTTATAAATCAAATGACAGATAAAAGATTTCAGAGATATCTCTGTGAGCTCATTTGCCTGGTAGCGGAACTGTTTAACAAGCTGTTCACAAAAGGAAAAAGCCACCAAAGTATTACTACAGGGAAACCTATGATGTTTGTTCAAGAAAATGTGATTATGTAGCTCACACCTGTTGTAATCAGTCCTAGCACTCTGGGATGCTGAGGCAAGAGGATCATGAGTTCAGGTCACACCTGGGCAACCTCCACCTTAGCAACTCTGTCTCAAAATTAAAAAGGGCTGGGGATGTAGCTCAGTGCTACTGCAAAAAGAAACATAATTGCAGAAGTTTAAAAATAGAAACAGGAAAATGTAGATGGAGCCATGGTTGATTAAGAAGTATTTGTTGTGACAAGGCTATGTGAGAATAGTGAAAATATCAACACTGCTCACTCCTGGGCTCTGGAGTGAACTCCTGGAGCTTTGAAGAGAGGAACACCAGTGACTTCAGAATTAGCAGGGTATTTTGTTCATATCTCTACAACAAAATGATCATCCCCTACCCTGGAACATTACAGCTTTGTTGCATGAGCAAAAAGAGAAAATATGAAAAATGTCAAGAAAAATAGCCACACTCACTGTCCTCCCCTCCATCTTTGTTTTCATTATCCACCTTCGCAGTTTTATCGCCTGGTCATTGAGATAAGCTTCAGTAACTGTTTTGCTCTAGTGTATTATTTCCATGAACATTTCCTTTCTTTAGCTCAGGTAATTAAGGATTTATACCAGCCATCGAAACTGGACCCGTGTGTTGTCATGAATGCCCCATCCCCTGGCTGGTCTCCATTGGCTTGCTTTCTTTTTGATTAGCAGTTATTATGATGCCTATTCCAGGGCCATGAAGCTATCTTAGAGAAGCCAGCAGGCTAACAGTCAAATCTAAAATGTGGAATTAGTAAAGTAGCTGAGTCCATCTCATGAAAACAAGCCCATTTGTACTGTTGACCTTAGATCAGAAAAATTGAGAGTAAGCCCATGCTCTAAGACCATAAAGAACAGCTCTGTCAATAAATTTTAACCCAGCGCTGTATATAAGGGCTAGGCTTCCCAATGTTTAAAATTATTATCAATGTTTTAATTCATTCACTAATAAGTATTTTTTGTGAATAGTCTTGAGCAATTTTGTTTCTCAGTGTAGCACATGGTAGATACTCAATGAACATTTGAAAAACTTCTGACTTAACCAGAATTTCCATTTAGCATGTGAAATAGTCACCTAGAAAAAAGTGGGATTGCTCTTTCATCTTACAGCATCAACATAGCTTCCTGTATCCTCTCTCTGTTCATCGTTTATTCATCCAGAGAGGCACAGGCTGCTGCAGAGTCAGGTATGAGAGATGCAGCCATTTCATTCATTCAGTTAACATCATTGAGCCCTTGCTGTGTGCTAGGCACAGTGGTAGGTGCTGGAACTAGAACATACATCTAAGCCGCTTATCATTTGTCCTCTGTAAAACAAAAACAAAAACAAAAACCCCCCACTATCTGCAGAGCCAGCAGAAGCAGAAACTTTCTAGAGGTCCTTAATTCCATGGCTGAGAAACTTATTTATCCCTTAGACACCTGGATCCAGGAAGTACCGCAGTAGGTGGTATAGCAGTCTTAGTCATTTAACTGTGAGACCAAGTAGAAACCTGGAAAAGGAGTTTGTGCTTACTGGGATTTAAGCTTGAAAAGAAAACTGGCTGTAAAGTTTGCTGTGTGAATCGTGCTGTGATGGTGCCTTGAGGATGAGTGAGGGATATATTAATGACCTTTGTACATTTGATGCTGAGTCCTTCGCTTTTAGAATTCGTAGTACAGTAAGACAGGAAGTATCTTCTCCAGCATGGGGCGAAGATGTGGAAAAGGTGGTTGGGGTTTTCAGACTTCTGTCTGCTGGGGAAAACCTTCTAAAGAGGTACAGGAAACAGTGGTTCTGTTGCTAGTGGAGCTGGATTTGGACCAAAAAAAAAAAAACTGGAGAAAGAAAAAGAATAAATACCAGAAATCACAGAAAAAGAGATGAGAGGAGAAAGAAGGTAAAATGCAGAAGCAGCCTGGAAGCTACAGTACAGCAGACCTCCTTCTACTGGCCTGGGCTGGAGCACCACTCATTTCTTTTTTCCTCCCTCCTTCATTCCTTTTAAAAATACATACATTTAAAAGACATGCCGGAGATTGGACCCAGGGCTTCATACTGAACTATATCCCCAAGCCTTTAAAAAAAATTTGTTTTTTGACGTAGAGTCTTGCTAAGTTGCTCCCAAGCTGGTTTTGAACTTTGAATTTGCAATTCTCCTGCCTCAGACTCCCAGACTTTTGGGGTTACAGGCTTAGTTACTTTTCTCTAATTGCTGAGACAAAATACCCAATACCCAAGGTTAAAGGGGGAAAGGTTTATTTAGCTCACAGTTTGTAGAGGTTTCGGTCCATAGTGAGTTGGCTCCAAGTAAAGGTTGCATAGCAGACAGGCATCGCAGAGGAGAAATAGTTAGTTCATGGTAGCCAGAAGGTAGCAAAACAAGCAAAGGACAAGACAAGCCTCTTTCTGGCCCTTCTATATTCTATCTGGGCTACTGGGATTAGGGCGGTGCCAAACCAATCAGTGACCTGATTTAGTAACCACACCCTTAATTTCAGCATCACACACTCTCGATCTGGCCCCTCTGAAAAGCCCAACTATGACTGCATGAGGCTTTGGGGGACATCTAGACACAAGCTGTAACACAGGCCGACACCATGGCACCCATCTTATTCCATTTATTGTTTGAAAAAATATTGGGGAATCCCTGCCAAAAGCTGGTCACAGTGTTAGGTGTTGGGAATTCATGAAGGCATATAATAAACATTGTTTCTGCTCTCCAAGAATTTATAGCCTTCTTAGGTATGAGAAATGAGACAGACATTAAATAAGTATACACTTAGAAATTGCTGTAAATGTGGTGGGAGCAAAAGGACAAGATCCTGGGTGCTCTTCTTCCTGAAGAGCAGTTGGGCCCATTGAGGGTATTTAAACAGGGACCACCACGCCATCTGATTGACATTTGTAACAGCTCTCCTGACCACTGTGTGACCTCTCTGGGCTGGAGTGTTCAGTTGTGTGCCAGGCCTGGAAAGAGCAGGCACCCTGAAATTCCAGAATCAGGAGGGGTAAGCAATGTGCCTGCCACTTGGTGCCTGCCGTGTGGCCGCAGACCTGTAAACATCCATCACTCATTGTACCCTTCCACCCCTTGCACTCTCATTTGCCAGGCTCCCAGGGTCCCTCCCTGCTTGACAGCAGCACATGTTGTTTCCAGTCACCCTCAGGAACGGAGACCTGTGCCCTCTGGGGTCTGAGCTTCCATTTAAAAGCATTGATTTAATCACCATTCCTATCTTCAGGGCTGGGGGTGAGGGAGAAAATGATTTCATCAGCTGCAACTTGAAAGAAACCTTCACTGTCAAGTGTCCTACTACCTGTGACTGTTGTGAAAGACCAGAGGACCTGGGAAAATGCTGAATATGATGTTTCTTGGAATTGCCTCCTTGAATTCTGAGGCTTCAGTAAAAAGTGCTTTGGGAAATGTGGAGCCCTTGATCCACTGGTGATAATTGTAAGGGTGATCCCCAGCTGACCCAGGTGCCCAGGGGTGTGGTTAATTTAACATTCTAGCCATGGCCTTTGTTCACTGGCTTTATCTTCATTTTAGGGAAATATCGAGCAGCAGATGAAGAAAAAATTAACCCACCTCCCTACCTGACTTGTGAAAGCTTCCCTCATGCTGTGGACCACATTCTGCAGCATCTGCTGTGAACCATGGTATGGATGTGAAGTAACCCGAAACGCAGATCCTTTGTCTGGAGGGGATCCTTTCCCATCTCAGCACAGCATCAGTAGACACACAGCGTACAGCCTGATGGCGTGTCAACCCTCTTTTATTGTGCATTAATTAGAAAAAACGATATTGAATTGCAGCCAGCCACTAAGCCTTGCTAATTCCTTTTGTTTTGCTTTGTAAAAGAAGATGGGACCCAAAGAAAGAGAAAGCTGAGATTTTGTGCCATTCCTCTTAAAATATTCATCAAGTTCGCAGGGTTGGGAGGGAGAAGCTCCTGCAGGGAATAGCAATCTCTTCTGTCTCCTAGCTGGAAACCAGGAGGGGGATTCAGACTGTGAATAAAGTTGAGTGGTGGTTTTTAAATTATAAAGTGATGTGATGAAAGGTGCATTAGGCTGATGCTTTAATGTCGAGTTCAATTGTGAAACCCAGCAGAAGTGCCAAGTGAAGTACAAGACAGAAAGCAGCAAACTGAATTATCCTTCAGACCAAATGATCGAGTGAATTTCCTTTCACAGATGTTGAAAACTAGATTTTCTGTATTCCCAGCACGGGTGACTTCCTTTTCTCTTCATTAGCAAGAGATGACTAATTTAAATTTAGAACCTGATTTTAATTTAAAATAATATTTCCATTAATAACCTATTCATTGCAGATACCTATTATACTGTGTAACAGTTGTTTTGGAAATTTTATGTAAAATTAAAACTATCAGTATTTTACAGATGTTTTAATTAGACATTGTTATTAACAGGAACAGTGCAGAAACTAAAATCAAGCCTTTAATGTCTTATAGACCAGGCATTTTTGAAGTTAGTGTCCTCCAGGGTCCTATTAACTGTACATTTGCAAGATTTCATTATTTTTGCCTCTGACACTATGGGAAAAATCTTTTAGAAGCTATTGGGACAGATTCAAGCTTTTATGTACTTGGTTACTACAGCTGTAAAATGAAATCTCGTCTTGTAGCATGGATTATTCTTCTCATGTTAAACCCACCCAAATGAAAGAGACTAAATAGGTAATGATTTTCCTAGTGCATTTGCATACTGTGATAATCCTGGGCCTTCGCAATTGTTTTACAGGGCTCTTGGGCATTGAATTATTAGAATGTAATTGTACATCATTGTAGTGTTCACCTTATTGAAGCACATGCTGATGTTAATGAGCTTTGGGTTTTGATGCTTGTTTAGAGATCAGCTTGGTCTTGGATGGGAGGGAGCAAAGCTAAATAAATGGTAGTTTGTTCCTGTTTTTGCAAATGCCCCAACTTAGTATTTAAACATCTTAGAATATAAAGACAGATATGATATGACCACCACTCCTCCAAGTCAGCAGAATGAATGTAGTGTCGGAGAGCAGAGCTTCCAGAGCCTGACTGCATGTATCGACGTCTTACCTTGAGCAAATCAGCTGTACTTCTATAAAGTAGAGATAGCAGCAGTACCCATCACCCAGGCTTGCTTTGAGCAGTAAATGCATAAACCATATATTAAGTACTTCTACTAGACCTAGGCAGATGGTAAATGCTGTTTGCAATGACACTGAGTAGGTGTAGCAGCACTGTCCATATTTCACAACCTGTGTGGAGAAAGTCTTCCTGAGGATTACCAGAGAGAGATACTGCGTTTAGGTTTTCAGACCAAAGCTGTATGCAGGGAGAAGCCAAGCAAGCAGGGAGAAAGCGCCAGTGGGGATAAACCACTTTCAACTTTGGCCTGTCATTGGTGCCAGAGTCAGTGATTCCTTGTCCAGGAACCATCAAATGTTTGTCAGTGGCTACTAGCTAATTGGCTAACTGCTGTGCTAGCCCTACTTATTGTAGGAGATGAGCATATAAGAAAAGATTTTTGCCTCAGGATCCTTTCTAGTTGGGGAGCTAAGGTGACTACACAAGACATTATGCAAGAACAATAAGACCCAGTTCCCTTGTCCGTTCTCTTGTCTCCAAGATGGGACAAGGTGCTGCCTCTCTGCCCACAGGGCAGTTGTTGCACTGCACTTATGTCTTCACATGTCTCCTCCCCACTAGACAACGCTGAGTCTTTTTTCTTAATCTGTTGCAGCACAAATAGGCACTCAAACAACTGAACCAATAAAAGCTAAATATAGGAATTTAATTCCAGAAGGCATAGCTGTGAGTAGAGGGACGGGATTGAGTTATACCTGTTGCCTTAAAGATGACCATAGGGAGACCCCATTAGGCACTTGAAAATAATGAATCTGATGGTCTGGCAAGAGCCAAAGAATAGAAGTGGACATTGTGATGGGTCAGCAAGTAAACAGTCACAGAAATTGGTGAGACTTCCTGAGCAAACATACGCAGCCAGAAGAAATGGCTTCTTCCTTTCTCCATTCTAGAGTCCCTGTGGGCCATGGAAATCTTAGTTTGAGATATTTATTTAACGAAACAGTTTCATAACTCAGCTGACCTGTCCACATAGTAGCCTGTGGGAATAACTAAAAACCTTAGATCAGAATTGCTCTAAACACTCTAGTAAATTTTAATCTCAGCTAGATAGTCTGTGTTAGGCCTCAGGAAGGAAATGTAGTAACTGAAATATCTGAAAGGCTTCCTTCTCCACCCATCCCATAATTAAAAGGCAATTGTGTTGATTTCAAGAACAGTGTCTGATTTGTAGCTAAATGGATGGACCTTGAGACCATACCTTAAGTGAAATAAATCGGACACACATGTTTAAATACTGCATTTTTCTCTGGTGTGAGAAACTGAAAATGGAAATAAGAACTGAAATGTATATTTAAAAAACAAACAAAAAACAGTGTCTGCATCGCTTTTGCTGTAATCCTGTCCTGGACCAAGTGACACCTTGGGACTAGAAAGGTTCTGAGGATGTGTGTCACTGATGGGCGATGAGCATGTGCTGTGAGTCAGCCCCTGCACAGTGTGCGGGGTGCAGAGCCAATTAGTGTGCTTCCCTGGTACCTGCAAAGTCTGCCACAGGCTTGCTGTAGCTCTACCTCCTCTCTCACTACATTTGTCAGAGCTGATTGTAATGGCAAGGCAAGGAAATGGGGAGCACTTCATTCCAGATGAGAGTTCCCCAAACATTACTTGTAGGTGTGATGTCAGATATTCCTTTGAGACAATAGGGTCATCATGTCACCCTGAATCCTTCTTAAAAAATGGAATAGCATGTCAGACAGTGAAGTTCAAAACATCTACATTTATTGTGTTCAGTTGGTTTTGGATCAGTGGTTCATATGCAATGAAATTAAGTTCTTGGGCACCTATAATAAAGAATTCTTAAAACTGCATTAATCGGGCCAGGGATTTAGCTCAGTGGTTCCACCACCTGCCTTGCAAGCACAAGGACCTGAGTTTGATCCCCGATACCAAAAAACAAAACCAAAAAACTGTATCAATCTATTTCACTAAAACACTCTGCTTCAAGTAATAGAATCTATTTTTTATATTCACATTTGTTTTCATAGGACCATGTTTGCATTATCACAGTTATTTGGCATAAGTCACAAAGGCCTTTTTTAGCATAAACACACAAGGCCTTTACTGAATTTTTAAATTATCATTATACCAGTCATCAAGGGCTACTATCCAAAAGCATGTTGCTGTCTTTAAGGGGCAGTAAAGAGGCACCAGAGCACCAGAAATCATTCATCATATAAACTACATAGCTCTCAAGCAACTTTGAATACCTTTTTTCAATGCTTACCTTCATGCCATTCGCATCTACATTGATTGTTTCACCAGTGGATGTGCCTGAGAAAATCTGGTATTTATTAAATTCTTACCATGGGTAAGCATGAGAAGACAGCGCAGGTGTAGCTGTGGCTCCTATGATGAATATCTTCTAGTTGAGGGACTAAGCATATAAAAATATATTTAACAATATAAAGGGCCCTGAAAAGTTCGAAATGGTTGTATAAGTTCACTAAAGGAAGAGATAATGTACAATAAGCTAAGTGCTCAGGAATAGTAGTCACAACTTCTGAAGCAAATACAGGGTTCAGGTTGATTTTGGCCTATGCCACTTTAAAGAATGCTTCATCCATTCAATAACAGTGAAAAAAAAGTACCTCAGTAATGGAGCTTACATTTGAGACAGTAAAGCATATACACATAAATGCAACCTAATAAAATGAGAAACTTATAAATGATGACGAGTAAAGCCAATAAAAGTAAGGATGGGGTTATTTGACATAAGTATGGTCCATCATGGTGATCTCAATAAAGTGTGGGGACAAGTCATGTGATTTCTAAAGGCTGTGGTTAATCTTAGTTGCCAACATTTGAGAAGCAGGAGATTGAAATGCAAATCAATTACTGGGTTTTCTAGAGAGATTGGAAATGCTGACAATGTTGGGTCCAAATTTCTACTTTCATCTGAGGCTGAATCACTGCTATGCCTTTCAGAAAGTATCTGGCCATCTGCAGTTCACTGTGTCACCACCTGTGTGTGCCTTTTCCTACAACCAGCTTTACTCATTTAGCTCAAGTTTCTTGTTTTTATAGGCCTTTGAGTTCTAACCTCTGCTCTAAAAGAAAATACCATGTTAGGTTAAGTTAAATTTACATCCAACAACATACCAACCTCCTATATGAATTTAGATATTTTTTTAAAATAACTATATAGGGCCCGGGATTTATCTCAGTGGTTCCACCACCTGCCTTGCAAGCGCAAGGACCCGAGTTTGATCCCCGGTACCAAAAAAAGAAAAACGATATAGATACTCTATTGTAGATTAATCATGTGTCAGTTGGTCTTTCTCAAAGCTCCACTAAAATTAAAAAAAAAAGGAATAACAAAGTTAAAAGTACACAAGACCAACCAACAAGAGAATGTGACAGGAGAAGTCAGTGGACAAGAAGATAATTTGGAAGGTGGAAAGTAAATGGAGTGTTGAGAACTAAAATCAGCATAAAGAAAATACAACCAAATTTTGCCCTGTAGAAAGACCTCAAAGGGTGAGTCTTTGAGGCATAAGGTAGAGAGGAAGTGAGGTACCAGGTAGGGCTGAAAAGTGAGGAATTGGTTAAAAGTTGGTAAACAGACTCAAGGAAGTCCCAGAAACCCTCCCCTGCCGAGAAACCAGATGACCACCTCCAGCCAAGGCAGCAGAATGGAGATTTCTTACTATTTTCTGGAAAATAGAGCCATGGAAGTTAAGGCCTTGAGGACCATGGATATGGTAGTAGACCAGGATAAGATGAAGGACTAAAAACAAAGATTCAATACAATCAATTTACTTTGGTGAACCTCTGGTCTTTTTTTCCTTAGAACACCAGGACCAGAGGGAGTGGAGAACGAATTGAAAGTTTATCTGATATGTTTAGCCATTTAGAAAAGCATACTGATGGGTATCTCGCAGATCTGAGAATATATTGCAAGAAAAATGTAAGAGTAGACCTGTAGAAAATCTTTTTATTCAAAGTGATGATACCAGTTTACAAATCAGGAACACTACAGGAAATTGTTCATAAAATTTTAAAAGACAAATCTCCATTGCTTGGTGTAATAGCACATATCAGTGTAATTGAAATTGCCAATATTTTGCTGACATTTGTGATGAAAAATTAATGAAAATATCCTCTATTTCCACAAAATATAATTGTGCAAATTCCTGCACTGTTTTGGAATCATTTTCTCTTTTCTGTTCCAATCATGATGTTCTCCCACCTATACTAATAACCTAGGACACTTCTGTGGTTGACCAAGTGGCCAGGTCAGGGTAAGTGTGATTTCAAACAGACTCAAATTCTTTCTGCCAGGCTGAGTATCTCTGAGTCAGATTCTTTGCTGAAGGCTTACTGTGAGCTAGAACATCCAAAAAATCAGCCGTGGTCACTGTATCCAACTGGATCCCGGGGAAATGGCTGCTCTCTAGATAAAAACACAATGGTAATAACACAACAATCAACCTTATGGTGATCAGTGTTCTTGAAAGGCTAGTAGACCTTCTTTCAAGAGAATGCATAATGCAGCATTCTTAATAGTTAATGCAGCACAAGGCAAGACTAAAGAGAGCTGTGGAAAAATTCTTTAATGTACAACTGATTTAGCCCTTGAAGCCCAGACTGCCGCCCCCAAAGGTGACTTAAATGTATCATTATCAAAATATTATTTAATATTTATATAGTGCCTCAAATGGATCCAACCCAGCATCAGTGTGTGCCAGAGAAATAAAAGCTCGGGACCTAAGGAGTTTATCATCTGGGGGCAAAGTCAATTCAAAACAACACCATAGGAAGAGTGAGTTGAGTGCAAGAGGGATAATTTTAAGGACAAATGTGCTACAAGTGTAAAGGGCCACCAAAAATAGGCACCAGGCTCCATCTGCTGGTGAGAGTTGGATTGTTAAACACACATTTCTCTCCCAGAGAATCTTCATAAGGATCTCAACCATACCTGCCTGGTGATTTTCAAGTGCACTGAAGATCTTCCTCACAGGTCGCATGGCTGCTTCCCTGCAGACCAGCTTAATGTCTGAGCCTGAGTAGCCCTCTGTCTTCTGAAATAACCACAAACCCAGCCATCGGTCAACAAGCAAAATACATGGCTGGTGCATTCTTAGAGCAAGACCTAGAATCAGAATCCAGGTTTAGATTCTGTGTCTGTCATATACAGACACTACATAAAAACCTCCAGGCAAGTAATGCTGGAGGAAGAGATGCTGCTAACAAGTCTGGATAACCTAGTTAGCAGGGCAAAAACTGCCTAACACCATCTGAATTCATCATAAAATATTGGTAGAGGACTGCACTATCCACGTTAGTCTATTGAGGCCTGTGCCCAAGGCCAGTCAAATTGGGCAGACATTTTTGTTCTTGTAAATAAGATCATTTCTGCCATTCAGGAACTTAAGAGAACATCATGTGCAAGTGTAGCCCTAAAGCAAGTAACATGTTTACAATACCCTGGGAATGGATACTGGTGATAATGGGGGTAAAGAGACATGTACCTAGAGCTTTTCTGTTTGTGAAAGAGTCATTTAGTCGCCATAGTAAAACTTTGTGGGTTATCAGCTACCCATTTCACACACTGGGAACCTAAGGCCCAGAAAGTAAGTGATACACTTGCGCTCACACCACTAATTAGCAACAGGGTCAAGATTTGACCATATGTTCTCTGAATCTAAATTTTATGCTGTTTCCTCCAGCTTGCATTGTTTCTGCCTGAAAATTCCCAAGTGACAAGGAGCTCATTCTTTTATGAAGAAGAAGCCCACTGCATTGCTAGGGCAGCTTGGGATCTTTTTGAAGTAGCTCAAGGAAGCAGCTCCTTTCAAAACCCTGTCTCATACTGTCATGTGTTAGATCCTTAGCCCACAGGTGGCAGCCAGGTGGAGCCACAAGTGCCTCCTCCCAGGGGAGCCCACCTGGCTCAGCACACTGTACTCAAGCTCTGTGTGAAGCTCCAGGGCTCTGCTCTTGCTCACAGGTGGCAGCCAGTAGTGGATCATGGCCTGCCTGGCTTCTTGGCTGGGGAGATCAACGAGGATCCTCTTCTCCAGGCGACGTAACATGGCACAGTCCAGCTCCCTGACATGGCAACCAAAATAGAGGAGTGGGATGGGGTGACAAACATGCTGCTTAAGCAATAGCTGTATTTTAAGAACAATTTAGCCTTGCGGGAAGCAAATCTGCATTTTACTCTCACTCTGTATCTATGCCTGAATGGATAGGACAATTACTTCTGTTGTTTCAAGAGAGACTTGTTAAAAGAAAGAACAAATAAGAAGAGAAGGAAGGAAGGATAAGAGAATGGAAGAGAGGGAGTGAAAGAGGAAGGAAAGACTAAAGGGAGGATAAGAGGATGGAAGGGGGAGAGTAGAGAGAGAAGGAGAGATGGAGGAAAGGGAAAAGAGCAACCTCAAATTACTCATGTAGAAGAGGTTTTTTTGGTACTGGGGATCGGGGACCGAACTCGGGTCCTTGCACTTTCGAGGCAGGCAGCAGAACCACTGAGCTAAATCCCCAGCCCTAGAAGAGGCAATTTTATTTTATTAATTTTTTTTTTAATTTTTTTTTCTTTTTATTTTTTTGGTACCAGGGATGGAAGTTGGGACTTTGCACTTGCGAGGCAGGTGCCAGAACCACTGAACTAAATTCCCGGCCCAAAGAGGCAATTTTAGATGATGGGGGGAGGGAACCCAGCTAACAAGTAAACATGAGTATTCTCATTGCGGTTGTAACATAAATTACTGAATCTGATCTTTCCAATGAGTAAATTATTTCTGACAACTTGGGCACTCTGGGAAGAATATTAACTCTCTTGAAACTCTTACCCATTTTGGAGTGAATTACTACCTCACTCCACTGTTCTGGTGAACTCAGCATCAACATGCTCCTTCCTAGGTGTTTATATTATAAAGCAAACATCTTCTCCTGGCAGGTATTAAGCATTCTTTGTACTAGACTTTGACACCATGTGAACATCCAATTCCCATCCTCTTTCAACTAATGGTTTTAATGTCTGTTAATGATCTTTATTTCAAGCAATTATTTTCATGAGAGGTGGCAAGTAGTGATTTTTAAAAACTTTTATTCCAAGTGTATTATTTGGAATCATAGAATTTATGATGTTAATTATATGAAATAGAGAATTTTCTCATCAACTGAGGCTATTTGGTTGCTCTAGATTACCATTCCTACTATTTGGAGTATGAGTCTGTGAACTTTGTTTGGTTTTTTTTGGTACTGGGGATCGAACTCGGGTCCTTGCACTTGCGCAGCAGGTGGCAAAACCACTGAGCTAAATCCCCAGCCTGAGTCTGTGAACTCTTTACATGTTAAAATCTCAAGCTCCTAAAAGGGAGAGAAACGTCTGTTTTTCTAGTATAAATTAGGAAATAACTGTGTGTTGATTCCGTTTAACCATTGATAGAACAATGAAAACATTATCACCAGATATTTTGCACTCTAAAGACACTGAGAAGGTCCTAAGCTTCCTCTTATTTTTCTTACTCTTATTCTGAATCAATGTCAAGATATTTCCTTTTAAATTGGAAAAATGAAAACATACTTCCAGGGACTGTATGGGAATCCTAAATCACAATGTCCAGATTTCTTACAAGATTGTGTCTTTTCTTCACTTGTCATCCTTCCATCTTGAACTGAAAAGCCATCGAAGGAAACTGCATGGGGCAAGGGTGTCTTACCAGCAACATCAGTTCCCTATTTCTTTTCTGCATTTATTTGTTCTTTATCAACCTCACCCAGTTGAAATTCACCTCACATCGGAGATCCAGCCATCTCTTCCTCAGTATAGCCTTCCTTCTGTCAAGGCCAACAGTTGTATCCAAGGCATAGGATCAAGGACAAGAAAGAAAAAAACTATGCTTCATGGCAGAACTTTCCCTAGTGCTCCAGGTCATGATGTGTTTGTCTTTGTTTCAGATGGCTTCCCTTTGCTCACACTCGAGGCATGATGTGCAACCAGCAGGTATGAATAATGATGCCATCCATTTGGATTGGTCAGTCCCCCTGCCACACCAGTTGTTTAATACTTTGAACATTACTCCTACTTGTAACCAAGTTACAACTCCAGTTGTTATCCTTCATACCCAAGGACTCCTCACAGAAGGCCATCTGTGTTATTAAGGTCTAAATAAAAACACTTCATTGTTGATGAATTTTAATTTAACTAAGACTGCACTTAAAGGTGAGGTGGTGACCACTTCAGCTTTCTCCTGAAACCCCCTTAAAGCAACACCAAAAGGGTCTGTAATTGGCATAAACCTACAAAAGCAAAGACAATAGAAGAATTTATAGCCACGAAAGTTTAAAAGTTGGAAAATGTAACAGCGAGTAAAATCCAACATTCCAAACCTGAGAAGGGGCTTGCTAAAAAAGCAGTAAAGAAAGTAAAAAAAACAATTTGATTTGAATCACAGGATCCCAAAAAGATTTGGGATTGACACTATCTTGTACCTTTAGAGCTGAAATGAAGGTGGGTTGCAAATAACATTAGTTGGAAGTTTGTATAAGGAATGGTTAGATCACAGATTTCTTCCCCACCTCCAATGGCAGAAAGGACTGCCTTCCCCATACCTTGGTAGAGAGTAAAGTGAAGGGACTCTGGACTGGGAAACATCAGGCCAAGATGAGAACAGGGTGCTATATTGAGAACAAGAAGATAACATGAAAATCTTACTTCAGTTAAGCAATGAGACACCAGCTGTCTTTGTTCTTTTTTTTTTTTTGGAAGCAGGGATCCAACTTGGAACCTTGTGCTTGTGAGGCAGGTGGTAGAAAGAGACACCAGCTTTCTGCCTGTAGAATACTGGCAGCCAAACTCTGATCTTCTAGGCAGGAGACTGCAAGAGTCTTCCTCTGGCAATTTGATCAGCCAAAGAAAAAAGACCAAAAAACATTGCTATTGTGGTTTCCCCAATGCAATAGCCCAGCCAACACCTTAAATGTGGCATACACAGTTCACAAACCCTTCTTCCATGCAGTTTCTCACAGGAGTGTGTGTGTGGTGTGTGTGTATGTGTGTCCCTCCTATAAACATGAGCAGGCAGCAAAGGAGAATCTACCTCAATGAAAAGCCTCCAACTTGAAGATAGAGTTCAAAACAGGTGACCAGCAGGAGAAAAGACTCCTGAAGGAAACAGAATTCTGCAGCAAGATGAAACTTCAGGAAATTATTACTTTTAGAGACATGTAAGGAAATTTTGTACCCATGAAATAAGAACAGGATGCCATTTATAAAGAATATTCTGAGAAAAAACCCACAACTTTGGAACACAAAATATAAGAAGATAAAGCTGCAGAAATCTCCCAGAGAGTAGGGCAAGGAAGACATGCATACAGAGAAATTCAAGGAGAAAAAAATCTTTTTTTAAATGAGGACTTAGCCTAGGAAATCCAAAATGCAAGTACCAAGAGTTCTAGAAAAGAACCAAACAGCAGGAAAAATACCATGAATGACACCATCCAAGGAAATGTTAGAATCCTAGAAAATGATTTTCTGTATTTGAAATATTAATGAAAGCTAATGCTTAAATAGCATTAAGTGGCAGGCACTGCTCTAATCATTTTTTAAATGTTTATTTAAGTCTCACAACAATCTTATGAAGTAGGTGCTATTATTATCTCCATTTTGAAGATGAGGAAACTGAGGCTAGGAAAGGTCAAGTAACTTGCATGAGATCCAAGAGCCAGTGAATATGACGCAGGACTCTCACTTTCACAGTGAGATTCTGGAGCCTGGACTTCTCAACAGCATTGTGAGATACTGAAGGAAAACGCTGCAATGCCTTTAAAATTCTGAGGAAAAACTAATTTCCTATGAAGAAATCTGTCTTGGTCAAGCTATCAATTAAGTTAGAGAACAGAATGAAGATATTTTCAACATGCAAGGCCTAAAAGAGATTTATCCTCCATATCTTTTTTTTGGTACTGGGGATCTAACTTGGGACCTTGCGCTTGTGAGGCAGGCAGCGGAACCACTGAGCTAAATCCTCAGCACCCCCTCTATATTTTTTATCAGGAAAATACTGCAGGACTGCGAAGGAAGAATACACCAAATCAAAGGGCAGTCTGGGATGCAAGGACCAGAAGGTTTGACAGAAAGAGCAGGAGATCCCAGGTGCAGAGGACAAGCAGTTGTGGTGAGAAAGCAGGTATGGAGACTGGGGGACATGTCTGCAAGGGGATGAAACAGACAGGATGGTATATCTGAAAGTATTGAGCATCAATTGAGACAGAATCTACTTTTTCTTGTCTTTATCCCAGCCAATGGTTTCTTCACAGGAAGACAAGAGTGCCCTAGGAAAACAAAGTACTGTGGAGGGAGGTGGGAAAACAATCCTTCACCATAGATGTCTGTATTGATCAACTAAGGCCCTAAAGCAAGAGATTTACCTCAAAACTGCTTGTGGCTTAAAATAAGTGCAACTCTCTGACAGCCAGGCCTGATGAATGCACTTTTAATGACATCAATAATAATAGAATCATACAAGGGAGGAAATAAAGGACAAATGGAATGTACCCAGGAATCATTCTTTATGCCAATATATTTATTAAAAAAAAAAAAAGTAACCTGTGGCAACCAGAAAACACTCCCCTCAGCTTCTGCACTTTGATTTTTTGGGGGGAGAGGTGCTGGGGACCAAACCCAGGACTAGGCAAGCATTCAACCACTAAGCTAAATCCCATCCCTGTGTGCTTTCATTCTTTACACTAGTTATTCTGTTCTCTTGTCTCCTAGTTACTTGGTACTTCCATTACCTCAGAATCATTTTGCTGTGCAAAATGACCAGCAAGCATGAGGTACGTAAGGCATGTGAACCACATGAGTGAAGGCACAGAGAGAGACCCCAGAGCCTGGCCTGCCAGGCCTCTGCCCACTGCTGGATAAAAGGTACAACACCCCTTGGCCACACTGACAGCTTACAAGGGCCATAAGGCCTTGCACCTGGCCACCTGAACACCTGCACCAGATTGCAATGTACCTTCCTCAGCCTTTGGCCAGTCTCCCCTGCTAAACTGTGTGGTTCTTAGAAAAGAGATCATTCTAAATCTTACGGAATATA